TGGGCCCATTTAGCCTGGTATCTGGTCCCATCTCCGACCCCAGCCAGTTCAGTGGCTCAACACCCTGCCAGCCCCGGGGGACGGGGGGTAGTGAGTGGGGACATGGGGGCCGGTTCCCTGGATCCCAGGGAACTGGCTCTTCTCTTGGTGTCACGCTCCACTGCCCAGCAGCGAGGAGTTCCACAGGGAGCACGGGCTGCATGAGCAGTGCTGAGGGGATCTGCCTCCCAGTGAGGGGCAGAGCTGGGGGATCACATTAGCTTGGAAGGAACAATTGGGCTCTCGGGGCTGGAGTAATTAATAATTGATCATTAATAACCCCAATTCAGGAAACTTTCCCCCTGGTCTCCAGGCCCCTACCAGCGATGAACTAACTGGTCCTCACAGACAGGCGGCAGTCGCGAGGCCATTATCCATGTTGTGTGGATAGGGAAACTGAGGCACAGAGCACACACCGATTAGAGGCAGGACTAGAACCCAGGAGTCCTGACTCCCAGCAGTGCCCCTCCCCCTCGCCTCAAACATGACCCCACTCCCACAGCCGAGAGTGGAACCCAGGAGTCCTGGTTCCCAACCTTCCCCCATCCCACGCTAACCACTAGACCCCACTCCCCTCCCAGAGCCAGGGATAGAACCCAGGAGTCTTGGCTCCCAGCCCCCCCTGCTCTAACCACTAGACCCCACTCCCCTCTCAGAGCTGGGGAGAGAACCCAGGAGTCCTGGCTCCCAGCCCCAGCCCCGCACACCCTGTAATTAATACTCCCTCCCGGGCCCACAGGACTAATTAAATCCTTAATGAACAATTAAGTCGTTAGCTGGCAGGAAACCCTCCCCCGGGCCATCTCCGATGGGACCCACATCCCAGCCCCCAACCACCCCCCTTTACACCCACCGTGCCCCATAGCCCGGCCCTGGGGTGGGTTGGGGGCTGGCTGGGAGCCGGAGGGGCGTGGCGGAGGAGGGGCCCCATAGGTCACGTGCTGCCCAGCTGGGGAAGGGGAAGTGGGGCAGGCGCAGCGGGGCAGGCGGAGGGCAGGTCTGGGAGCTCTTGGGACGCGGCGCTTCCCCGGATCAGGTAACCCCCGGCTCCGACCCCCAGCACAAGCCCGGGGCA